TACCATTACAGGAAAAACCACACAAGGAGGCAGTTCATAAATGCATCGTAACTCCTCCACAGAGTTCAACGTCTCATAGGGAAAGTCCAGAAGTAGGTTATCAACAAGCATATGCACAACAGTCGCTAGTTAACTACAATCAGAATACGCAACCACGAGAGCAAAAGTATCAAACCGAAGAGCATGACTTATCATCACGTCCAGCACTGCCACAACGTTTAATGACAGTACCGGAGTCATCGCATGTCAATCATCCAGTACTACCAACTTCTACAAGTTCAGAATCATCATCGCAAAGGCCACAGGGGCATTCACAAGGTAATTTTAAATCATCATCGCAAACGCCACAGGGGCATTCACAAGGTAATTTTAAATCATCATCGCAAACGTCACAGGATCATTCACAAGGTAATTTTAAATCATCATCGCAAACGCCACAGGGGCATTCACAAGGTAATCTTAAATCATCATCGCAAACGTCACAGAGTCATTCGCAAGGTAATTTCAAATCATCGGTACAACCAAAAGAACTTGAGCCGCAGCCGCCATCTTCGGTTAATCAGCCACAGTCACCACGAGAAGCACCACCAAGAGATAATCACCAGTCCGGTCCACCATCATCTTCGTCATCAACCACATCGCCACAAAGGAATTCTACTACAGTATCGCCAATAGCGGACAATCGTCAAGTACAACCTACGAAGTCATTAGATCCATTAGATATCAATGTTTCAGATAGTAAACTTAACACGGAACTACCAAGCCAAGGAATTCAAGCAAAGGATAAAGTCAAGCATGACAGTCAACAAGAAACATGGTCACCACAAGAGGAATTGAACGTCAGTCAACCAAGCACAAAAGGAAACAAACCAAAGATTTTCGTACAACGTCTAGGTACATTTAAACGAAAGGATGACCATCATCATGTCAGCAACCAAGATGAGTATTACAAAATTTTCAAGTGTCCAAAGATTAGAAAGAGAAATCGAGCCTCGTTCTAAAAGGAATATTAGTAACACAAGTATTAGCATGTATCATATGGAAAATAAGGGATAAATGGAAAATCAGAAGTATCAAGTGCAAATTTGCCGACGAGGGGTCATCAACGTATCATTAAAATAAAGTTTTAGTTTAATTTCTGTTCTGAAGAAGGAGGGAAATGTAACGACACAAATTTACAAAGTAAATTTCTGTGCTACATAAAACAAGAAGCAGAGAAAAACACAGTCTGTGTGTTAAATAACCGCCACCACTACACATAATATATCTAACAACTCACATGAAAATCACTGAAGGCGACTTAACTGGAAAATATAAAATTGAATTAAAATATTTATTTGAAATATCATGGACATTACCTGGGATCCTCGATGCCAATGTGCCGCGGGCATCGCTACATGAAATGTGCAAATTCTAAAAATATACGAAAAAAACAAAATCAACGTTTGGTTAAAACTTTTATGAATGGAACACTTATAAACGCAACAACAATGAACAATTATCGGCGAAACATGTGTAAATTTTAAACAAATGTCTATTTTTCTACAATTATATAGAAATAAAACAAAACACAAAACAATGTAACACTTATCACAGAAAACACGTTTAATTATTGAACAAAGATCTATTTGAAATATATATAAATAAAATAATACACAAAACAATTTAACACTCATGTTTGTACAATTTTATTTTTATAAACAAAACACAACAAAACAAAACTAAGCACGCCAACATCAATTTTATTTCTTTTAATATTTCTTTTCTGTTCACATTTAGATAATATTAAATTCACAGAATATATATGTATATTTAATACCTTGTTTTGTAGTATTAAAACACTTTACTTTTAATATAATAATATTTAATATAATATAAACTAAAAAGGAATAACACACGAAATAAAGAAACACGGCGCGTAGTAAAAGTACTAAAAATCACGGCGAAGCAGAAGAAGTGAGAAAACAGTAGAACACAAAGTTCAACTTCACGGCGAAGTCAAGTACAGCAAAGAATACCGGTACGCTACACCAAAAAGCTCCGGTATGCTCGATATAAAAGGAGGTACATTTTATATAATCAGGGACTTGGTTTGCGACAAGTGAAAGAGCAAGTACTCTGGCTCATTGGGCCTTCTGGTAAATTTTACCAAACTTGAAATTTTACTTTTCCTGAAACAAGTACACTGGCCTATTGGTCATCTGGCACATTGTGCCACAAATCTGGTTCTTTGAATCAAACGTAGTGTAAAATTCCTTTCCTGTCTTATATGTATATTTTTTAACCTGGCTTATTCGGTCAAATAGTTTTTTACAGCACGGAGGAAACGTTTTGTTTATTTTTTTTTACAACAGAAGAGGGGCTTAAGAAGTCACACGGGTTTTGCTAAGATTCTTTTAACAAGGAGTATATGGAGAAGTGGGAAATTTTGGCATCAACATAATTTTTTTATTTATTATTAGAAATGTTTCCAATGAATTTTAATTAAACTTTGTTAATCATAAGTTTATGAAATAATAAAGTTATATATATAATTTATACATATAAATCACGTTCTGTTTTCTTCTAAAACCAACGTCTCGGCAAAATTATAAATATATTGTCACGACTCTGGACGACGGCTGAGGATACCCCAGCAAAAACTAAAAATTTTTGAACGTCACCAAAAGTGTCGTTACAAGGCCAAGGATAGCATCAACTTTGATGTGATCAAGATCAATGAATCTTTTTGACTGTCGCACGCCTGTTTGGGTGCGTGCTTCCAGTGTTCAAGTAGATGTTGTTTCTCCCGTTCACATAATAAGCTATATGTGAAGCTATTTGTTACCCCGCAGAAGGGCTCTGGACCAATGAAAGGAGTACATACACCCTTCTTTGCTAGGGAGTCTGCTATTTTATTGCCCTCATGCCCTTCGTGTCGCGGTACCCACATAAAAGTAACATAGTTCCTCGATGCTAGGGTGTTGAGAAGTTGAAAGTATTCCCAGACCAACTTTAATTGGAATAAAGATTTTGCTAAAGATTTTAGAGCTGCTTGGTTGTCTGAAAAGATGCAGACAACCAAGCATCCTCGGGTGCCCCTTCGTATGCATTCTCTTGCACATAGCTCTAAGGCATGGACCTCTGCCTGAAAAATGGATGCAGTTTTACCCATTGCGATTGCTTTGCGGAATTTCGGTTCTATAACTCCTGCTTCCGCACTGCCATCTTCCATTTTGGACCTATCAGTACACCATAATTGTGGGCCCTGTTTTAAGTTAATTTAATTGTTTCTCCAGGTGGCTCGGTCACTAATGACCACTTCGAATTCCCTGAAGAAAGCTAAATTTCTATTAATCTTGTCAAAGACCTTAAGGCACGGAGAGTTCCAGACTTCATCTAGAATCTTTGCGTGTCCTGTCAGATTGCCCTCTTTAAGATTACATAGATAAGGAAGCCTTAGTGTGGCACTGGTCGCAGTCCTTTTAACTGTAATGTGTAATGGAGTGAGTCCAGTAAGCATTGCTAGGGCTTCTGTGGGGCACGTTTTCATTGCTCCCGTTACGCTTAGGCAGGCTGTTCGATGAATCTTATTGAGGGTCATCTTAGCCTTTGCCTGATTTACCCTTGGCCACCATGCCAAGGATGCATAGGTGATCATTGGTACTATTACGGTCTTGTACGACCAAGCCATCATTTTTGGTCGCAGACCCAATGTTTTGCCATACAGTCTTTGGCACGCATAAGTTGCTCTTAGAGCTTTGCCAGTTAGATATGATAAGTGATTTTCCCAAGTTAGAGTTTTATCTAGAATTACTCCTAGATATTTCATTTCCTGAGATAGAATTAAGTCAGTGTCCCCTAACTTAAGGGTCCCTAAATTCATCTTCCTTCTTCTAGTGGAGGGTACTACGTTTGTTTTATTCGGATTAATCAAGAGTCCTTTCTCTTGACATCAATCTTGAGTGATTTCAAGAGCTAGTTGCATACGATCGGATATGGTGCAGTCAAATTTGCCTCTAACCATGATAACCAGATCATCTGCAAAGCCCTGAACTTCATATCCGAGGTCACTAAGAGACTGTAGGAGTTCGTCAATGACCAATAGCCATAGGAGCAGTGATAGAACACCTCCTTGAGGGCATCCTTCGGTTGACTTGACAGTTAATCTCTTCGCCCCCATTTCAAAGATTATCGTCCTTTTTTTCAGCATATTGAGAATCCATGTTATGATCAGTCTGTGTATTCCTTTCCTGACCATTCCTTTCTCAATTGTTCTGAATGTTGATGTGCAGAGAGCTATTTCCTTACCGTCTAAAGCCTTCTCAATTTTACTTGTTAGACTGTGTATAGCGGTCTCGGTCGATTTGCCCGACTGATAAGCATTCTGTTCAATATGTTAAGGTGAAGCTTTAATGTAGACTTCCCTGATGTATTTATCTAGAATCTTCTCCATCGCTTTAAGCAGGAAAAATGTTAGGCAAATGGGTCGAAATGCTTTTGGCGTGTGGTCCGCCTTTTTGCCTGCTTTCGGTATGAAAGCCACCCTAGCCTTCGTCCAGTATTTAGGTATCACGCCTAGCTCTAGACTTATCCCAAATACATTTGTTAATATCGGTGCTAATATATCAACGCCATTCTGAAGAAGACACGGTTGTATATTGTCGATACCCGGTGATTTAAACGGGCTGAATGTGGAAATGGCCCATTTAGTTTTATTGACTGTAAAGATTTTACGAGCCAGTGAAAGACCTCTTCCTGTAACCAACAAGAAACGAGTATCCTCGATGGTTTCCGTAGTCTCAGTATACATGGCACAGCCTGAAAAATGAGTGTCCAACAAATGCTGTCCTGTTTCTTCCAGGCTTTCCGTAAAGCTTCCGTCAGCCTTCTTTAGTGTAGAGAGGCTATTTGAGTGGTCTTTGTTTGTTAACCTCAAAATTTAGTTCCTGACAATTAGTAATCCTATCTCCAAGACAACTAATGTTTTGTTCTAAATAGAAGTTATATAGACACCAGTTGGTCTTCCTAACATTTCTTGTTTCAAAAGTGTTTTCAATTTCCCCTTCCAAATCAAAACGTATGTAGCGGTGATCTGATAAGGAGTTTTCCTCCAACACCCTCCAATTTGAAATGTTATTAGATATAAATGTGCTTGCTGAAGTGAGATCTAGTACCTCTCCCCTTATCGCATTTACAAAAGTAGGTTCATTACCTCTATTTACCACCATTATATTGTTAGTTGTGATAAAATCAAAAAGTGACTCACCTCATGTATTGGTGTTCTAGCTTCCCCATACTGTATGATGTGCATTGGCATCGCAGCACATTACCCACTGTAGGTTTCGGATACGGCAGTATTCTGTAAGCTTCCTCTGCGTCGCCAGGGAGGTACAGAGATGCAAAAACAATTATTCTCTTCCCCCTAGTACTAGGCACTTCTGCCTGTACCGCCACCAGATCACGCTGTATGAGCTCTGTAATTGGAAGAGATTTACACCTTCAGTACACCTTCAGAGCTATCGACAGGTGTCTAAATTTTAATCAGGCTATCGCTACTAGCCGAATAAAAGACAACTCACATTTTTTTATTTATTTATTTAAGTAATAGGCTATTGAAGCACCGCGAACTAAAAGATCTATTGTGCGCCTAAAGGCCCAACTAGGACAATTTTAGACTATTTATAAATCTTGTAATTGCTGTAGGCTTAATTTTACCTATTTGACTTGGGACTAATATCCCGCTTTCAAGGTAATCGAGTCTACGTCTTGCAACCACTGGGCAGTTGCATAGAACATGTTCTGATGTTTCCTTCTCTTCATGATAGAGTCGACAGGAGTCACTTTTTACCACACCTATAATCTTCATGTGGTAATTAAGTCTACAGTGTCCTGTAAGAAGTTTAGAGTAGATTTTAATATCGTTTCTGCTAAGGCCAAGGATAGCATCAACTTTGATGTGATCAAGATCAATGAATCTTTTTGACTGTCGCACGCCTGTTTGGGTGCGTGCTTCCAGTGTTCAAGTAGATGTTGTTTCTCCCGTTCACATAATAAGCTATATGTGAAGCTATTTGTTACCCCGCAGAAGGGCTCTGGACCAATGAAAGGAGTACATGCACCCTTCTTTGCTAGGGAGTCTGCTATTTTATTGCCCTCATGCCCTTCGTGTCGCGGTACCCACATAAAAGTAACATAGTTCCTCGATGCTAGGGTGTTGAGAAGTTGAAAGTATTCCCAGACCAACTTTAATTGGAATAAAGATTTTGCTAAAGATTTTAGAGCTGCTTGGTTGTCTGAAAAGATGCAGACAACCAAGCATCCTCGGGTGCCCCTTCGTATGCATTCTCCTGCACATAGCTCTAAGGCATGGACCTCTGCCTGAAAAATGGATGCAGTTTTACCCATTGCGATTGCTTTGCGGAATTTCGGTCCTATAACTCCTGCTTCCGTACTGCCATCTTCCATTTTGGACCTATCAGTACACCATAATTGTGGGCCCTGTTTTAAGTTAATTAATTTTGTTTCTCCAGGTAGCTCGGTCACTAATGACCACTTCGAATTCCCTGAAGAAAGCTAAATTTCTATTAATCTTGTCAAAGACCTTAAGGCACGGAGAGTTCCAGACTTCATCTAGAATCTTTGCGTGTCCTGTCAGATTGCCCTCTTTAAGATTACATAGATAAGGAAGCCTTAGTGTGGCACTGGTCGCAGTCCTTTTAACTGTAATGTGTAATGGAGTGAGTCCAGTAAGCATTGCTAGGGCTTCTGTGGGGCACGTTTTCATTGCTCCCGTTACGCTTAGGCAGGCTGTTCGATGAATCTTATTGAGGGTCATCTTAGCCTTTGCCTGATTTACCCTTGGCCACCATGCCAAGGATGCATAGGTGATCATTGGTACTATTACGGTCTTGTACGACCAAGCCATCATTTTTGGTCGCAGACCCAATGTTTTGCCATACAGTCTTTGGCACGCATAAGTTGCTCTTAGAGCTTTGCCAGTTAGATATGATAAGTGATTTTCCCAAGTTAGAGTTTTATCTAGAATTACTCCTAGATATTTCATTTCCTGAGATAGAATTAAGTCAGTGTCCCCTAACTTAAGGGTCCCTAAATTCATCTTCCTTCTTCTGGTGGGGGGTACTACGTTTGTTTTATTCGGATTAATCAAGAGTCCTTTCTCTTGACATCAATCTTGAGTGATTTCAAGAGCTAGTTGCATACGATCGGATATGGTGCAGTCAAATTTGCCTCTAACCATGATAACCAGATCATCTGCAAAGCCCTGAACTTCATATCCGAGGTCACTAAGAGACTGTAGGAGTTCGTCAATGACCAATAGCCATAGGAGCAGTGATAGAACACCTCCTTGAGGGCATCCTTCGGTTGACTTGACAGTTAATCTCTTCGCCCCCATTTCAAAGATTATCGTCCTTTTTTTCAGCATATTGAGAATCCATGTTATGATCAGTCTGTGTATTCCTTTCCTGACCATTCCTTTCTCAATTGTTCTGAATGTTGATGTGCAGAGAGCTATTTCCTTACCGTCTAAAGCCTTCTCAATTTTACTTGTTAGACTGTGTATAGCGGTCTCGGTCGATTTGC